GCTGAGAGTCAACTGCTTCTCCTGCGGAGTGAAGCCGCTTGCCATGGTCGGAGAGCGCTGACTTCTTCTTGTGAACAATTGGATTTTAAAGTAACAACCCGTGAGTAGTACGGAAATTGGATTTGTAAAGAAAAATTTTCTCTTTGAATTAGGCACGATCGGGGAAGGCGCAAACAGGAAGTCCGTTTCCCCGTCTTGTAAATAATCTAAAGCAAGGACCTGCTAACTAAGGTCGAGAGATTCTTTTCTTTTTTACTGGATAAAAGATATTAATTTCACGATTTGGCAGTATAAGAAATCTTACTGGAGGATAAGAGCTAATTTTGGGAGCTGAAGTCCCACCCCCCGGACCCGGGAGTGATCCGTGAGAGAGCCTGTTGAAGAGGTATTGAAGAGTTTGACAGCTGTCAAATTAGCTGTCAAGACAGAATAAGAGAACTTTGTTTCTGTTGTCTCTGCTGGTTGTATTTGTTACGATTTGGTTACAATTTGTTGAAAACAAGGAAGAACTGATACAAACTAACTTGACTTTTGGATTTGAACTGGAAGGAATATTAAGTAACCAAAATCCCTCTAGAGGGGGTTTTGGGACATTACAAGAATGGCTGAAGGAGGGAAAATTCAAGCTAAACTGGACAGAGTTTTTGTTCTCTTGGGAAAGTTACAAGGCCAAATTGATGTTTTGGCTACAAATGTTGCAACTCTGGACTTAACAGTAAACAAACTCATTGAATTTGATAAGGACTTGGCCCAGGAAGTCCAGGCAGCTGGACAAGAAGAGAAATTTGAGAGCATTGAGAGTGTGGAGAAAGAGATATATGTTGTTCCTGAGGAAAAGGAAGGAGGAGCTGTAATGTTGCAGATGACAAAGGAGAGCCAGAGGCCTGACATGATGGCTATAAAGGAAAATAAGAACTTGATGTCGAAAATCTGGTCTGAACTGGAGATTGAAGAATGGAGAGATCTCCTTATGTGGAGATCTGAAGACCCAAGGATTACAAATTTGATTAAGGTGGAAGTTGGAGCTATGGGGACATTTGGACTTGAAGGGAGTAAGAAACAAGATTCGGGCTCCACTTTTAAGTATGGAGGTCTGGCTGGAAGAAACATGGATCCCATCGGGCCAGAGCTTCTCCGAGATCTGGGGTTTAATATTAAGGACTATCAAAGAAACCGGCAGAGAGGAATTGAGAGAGAATTAAGAGCCTCGGACGTGAGATCTCCAGGCTGATAGTAGACTAAGACTGATGGACATTTGTTGGGGATTGAAACCGGGAAAGGGGGGGGTGGAGTTTGGGAATCCAAAGGGTGCATAATTACAATCTGTTTTTGTTTTTACTTTGTTTTGTTATTTGTATGAAAATTGGGGAATTTGTGGAAGGGAATTTGGGTCGACTTTAGAAAAAGGTTTTAAGAATGAGTATCTATGTATAAATATTGATGTATATAAGGCAAAACTGTTTTTTTAAAATGAACTAAATAGAAAAAGGTCAAAAATTAGGGATAAGAACTTGTTGAACTAACAATTGGAATTGGAATATAAGAAGAGGAGGTGTGGGGAAGTCAGGGAAATATGTTATAGAAAAATAAGGATTGTGAACCTTATGTGTTTTTAAACTTTTTTCTTTTTTCTTTTTTGAGGTTTTTTTTAATGTATTAAAGTGGAAAATTTCAATAAATATCTTTTAAAAACAACAACAAATAGTTCAGAACACTGAAATCAGAATCAAAGCCCATTTCCAATAACTCACACCAACTGTTTCTATAGGAGCAGAATTTATTTAAGATAGGAAGAAACAGGAAAGATTCTGTAACCCAATGCAAAATATATAATTTATTTTAAAATCAGTCAAATTAGAGGTTCAGGAACATTTGAATCACAGCACCAGAACACAATAAAATAAGGAAGATTTTACTAACTATTATGATACACTTGTCTCATAGACCTCAACCCACTCTTGAAGTGAGATTGGCTTGGTGCATCACTGCCTGAAAAAGCCAGCAGAAGCAGATTTGTAGGAGAACTGAGTGGACAAAAACACACACACCAAGTTAGAGAATGTTTTATACATTTCCCTGAGACACAACTCTCAATGGCCCTAACCCTTTCAAGAGCACAAGGGGCTAGAAGGAACAGAGATAACATCAGAGAACTGCCGACATGTTGGTATGTGGAATGGTATGAAAGCGGGGGGGGGGGTATTTTATTTTTATGTGAATATAAAAGGATGTCATATAGAGGAGGGAGAAAGGTTGTTTTCTGCTGCTCCAGAGAAGCGGACACGGAGCAATGGATCCAAACTACAAGAAAGAAGATTCCACCTAAACATTAGGAAGAACTTCCTGACAGTAAGAGCTGTTCGACAGTGGAATTTGCTGCCAAGGAGTGTGGTGGAGTCTCCTTCTTTGGAGGTCTTTAAGCAGAGGCTTGACAACCATATGTCAGGAGTGCTCTGATGGTGTTTCCTGCTTGGCAGGGGGTTGGACTCGATGGCCCTTGTGGTCTCTTCCAACTCTATGATTCTATGATTCTACCTAATAACCCTCCCCCTTAAAAACCGTCTCGACGATCAATTTGCAAGTGGGAGAGAAAATGAACTGTGTGGGGAAAATAATATGTTTGTGAAAGATTTCGAAAGAAGTGAGTCTCTCTCGGTGACGCAGCAAGAAATGTTTTGATGTGCAGGCAGACCTTGGCTGCAGGATGGATGGTCTAGGGAGGAAGAGCTGCTTGGATATCAGGCTGGAATTGTAAATCTGAAAGGGCTGTTATCCTCCTGGAAAGACTAATTATGATGCAGTGGGTCTGGAAAGTAAACGAGTGGACATTTAGATTGTATTTCATCGGAAAGACAAGATGGCGTGTTTGCTCGAGCGAAAACTTAGACTGTTGGATTTCTGTGAGAGATATACGAGAGAGCATTACAAAGCCCACACAGAGACAAAATAAGACTGTTCCTTTCAATCCACTTGTGGAGAAAACTCGGAGGTGACTGAAAAGGAAAATGAGTAATGACAAAGATGAGAAGATGGGACTGAAAACATCATTGTAAACAGGAAAGCAGCAGGAATATGGATGACTGGATTCCTGACGATCAAGAAGCATGGGTACCCCCCACAAAAAAAAAATTTGGAAAACATGATGTGTATTGATATAATTTGGATTAATTGGTATGATATGTTTAATCTGGTAAATGGAAGCTTAATAAAAATTATTGAAAAAGAGCACAAGAGACTCATTTTGAACTTTAGCATGAAAAATCCCTGTGACAACCATGACAGAACAACTGAAAGAAGAGGATGTTGCTGAATCTTGGGCGCCAGAGATGGAGGGAGCAGCGGCCCAGCAGGAACATAAATTTTTGGATTTGACAAATGAACTTGGAAAAAACCAGACTTGGAAAGATAAAGTTTGGTTAGGTTTGGAAATGGGGGGCTGGATAGACCCCCCTATACAGGGAGATTTGAACTTCTTGAGTCTGGCAATGGGCCGCCAGATGTCTGGAGCTGTGGGGGCTCTCAATTTTGGAGGGAATCTGGAACATGCTTTTAAATACCATATGGAGTCCAGTCTGGTCTATGGAAAGGGGGCTGATCTGTTGAAAAGGGTCCAAAGCATTACTAAGCTGGAGTTTCCACGAATGAAAGGAAAATATGAAGAAGAGCTGCGGAAGGGACATGGAAGAGACTTGAGGGCCTCGGATATAAGATTACCAGGTCAATGTGCTAGATTAATAGGATAAAAAGGACTGACAAAGCCCGGGACCAGGAGGAAGGGACGCTGGATGAAGATTGGATTGGTTTTTTTTGTTTTTTTATCACTAGGATTGTTCTATAAAATTGATGAATGTTAGAAAAATGTTGAAATGAAATTACTTGGCTCTTGTAAAAATGTCTAAAGAATTAGGTAAGAATGTTATGGTTAGGAGAAGTTGGTAAAAATAAGATTTAAGTTTTAAACTTCAAGGTTTTTTATATGATAAGATGAAAATAGATTAAGGTAATGTAATGACAGAATATTATGAATTAAGGAAAGGATTTGCTGAGATTATTATTAATCAGGATACAAGAAAAGGGAGGAGGAGGAGGTCAAAGAAAGAAGGTATTGAAAGTGGAGAATTTGAGAATGATGGTTTTATTTTTTATTTTTATTTTTCTGTCTTGTTTTTTCTTTGTGTGTGTGTAATTTTTTAAACCCCCCCCCCAATAAATATCATTAAAAAAAAATCCCTGTGACAAGTCCTGCTGCCAAATGTTACATTAAAGAGATGGACTGCAGGTAGGGCATCCTTGAGTTTTGTGATACCAGCCTCAGGTGACAAGGTGGCTGTAAATTTCTAGGCAGGAAGCAGTTACTTATATGAGACTAAGTTCTCATATAATTCCTAGGGGTCTTAAAGTTTGCCCATAAACCCCAGCGGCCAATGAACAAAAGTTCGGCTCAGTACTGTCCCCAAGTTCCCAAATACAGGCTAAGGAGTAAATGCTACACAAATCTGGAGTGGCATCCCTAAGATGGTTAGTTGGCTCCTTCTGTACCTCTTTCCAGCAACTCCTGCAGCTAAGCTCGTGACAAACATATTGCTCTGCTTTCCTTTGGACCACATCAGTGATGCTGAGAGGGAGGTCTTGTCGTCTAGGCGGTCCAGGACCTCCACACGCATCGCCCAGGCTTGCGCCCCAGAGAGATCACTTTGGTTTGACTTCATCCCCGGAGGTGCACTCCTTTGTCTCTCAAGACAGATGCCAACAATTCTGCTTAGGACAAACATTTTATATATAACACTCTGAGATTAGGCCAAATGTAACATACTATATCGGCAGACACAAGCAATCACAAATAAGAAATCCTTTTCAGAATTATGTGCATTCTACAGCCCTAAACGAGGCACCCAAAAGTTGGAAGAGAGGTATATTATTATTATTATTATTATTATTATTATTATTATTATTATTCCATTTAATGTTATACATTCACATTGTCATTATCCACTATACTGCCCTAAGCCTCGATTTCTTTTCCTCCCGCCTCATGGCTTTCGAAATTAACCTTTATATCACTGCTATTTATAAGTTTTTCAATTCTAATTCTAATTAGACTTATTACAGAATGCCTCAAAATTTAAATAAAAATAGAAAGGTAGAAAATTTCTCACTTCGGGTCATCGGACAACCCTGCTAGGGATGTTAATTGCTCACAATAATCTTTCAAATATCGTATAAATTTATTTTGGAATACTTGATCGTGCTGGTTTTGGATTTTTCCTGTCAGCTTCGCCAGTTCTGCAAAGTCCATCATCCTCATCTGCCACACTTTTTTCATTGGTACTTCTTGCTGTTTCCATTTTTGGGGCTAAAAGAATTCTTGCCGCAGTTGTTGCATACATAAACAGTCTTTTATCTTCCCTTAGTATCTCTTCACCCACTACACCCAGTAAAAAAGGCTTCTGGGTTTTTTTTAACAAAAAGTATTTTTAAACATTTTCTTTAACTCATTATATGCCATTTCCCAGAAAGCCTTTACCTCCACCACATGTAGTAAAAGATACCTTCCCTTCCCTTACATTTCCAGCACTCGTTAGTTCTTGTCTTGTACATTTTAGCCAATTTAGCTGGTGTTAAATACAATCTGTATATCATTTTCATAACATTTTCTTCGAGTGCACTGCATGCAGTAAAATGAAAGGTCTTTATGAGGGATAGAGAACAGATCTTTGATCAGAATCGTTTTATGAAGCTTGTTACATGCTCTGCTGCCACCCTTCCACATGGCCATTCAAAGAACCAATCAACTGAACTTACAATCCCATGGAACCCTTCCTTTGCATGGTGCCAAGTTACGGGCACACCGTTGTCCTCCAACCGTTTTTTGTATAGCAGTCCATCATCCCTAAGCACATCATACTCGCAGGTTAACATAAACGTCTCAGGGAGCTGACGCACAATGTCATCTTCCACTAGAAGAGCACAGTGCTTGGGATCCAAAGAAAGCTTCATCATTTCATGCAGCTCCTTTGAAAACGGGACTGGCGGAGGTGGTTTGTAGCCCCTGACTTTAAACTCATCCGGGATATGATCTGCATGGATCCATTTCTTGTATTTCATCTTCATTTCTTCGGAAACATGGGCCCCCTTCAGGAATTGATCCAAATATGCTAGCTTCACATTCATAAACCTGAGTTCAAATTCGGCAGACCATTTTGTGAACAGGAGGGGGACATTTCGGTTTTGCTGATAAGATGGCACGTTGTAGTCCAGTGTTTGAATATTTGGGTAGAGCAGGATCTGGGCTCTGACCTTTGGGAGATCCTTTCTCGTTAACAGATGTTGATAGACAAGGGGAACAATTCCAGCCCCAGTGCTGTCACCAGCAATGACAATACGATTAGGGTCTACCCCATAATCACTTGCATTTTTCAAAAAGTATTCAGTGGCGGTGATGCAGTCCATGATTTGTGTAGGACAGCGGTGCTTAGGAGCCAAACGTTGCCTAGAAGAAGATGGAGAGAAGGGGAAGGGGAGAAAGTCAATCCTATTCTTAGTTAAAGACAAACCAGTCTAGTTCACACTTTCTAAAACAATATGTGAAATGAAACATAGCCATTGTTTGAAATCTGCCCTTCTCCAACTTTGGTAGGACTGTTCCCCATCCAAGTGACATGTAGAAAAATGCATAGAATAATGTCTGTACTGATGGCTCAGGCTATGGGACATTCTAGTCCAGCACCCAGTTTTCACAGTGGCCAAACAGATGTTTATGGGAAACCTTAATGAACTTCCAAAAGGTCAACAACTTCACAATGTAATTTAATTTTAAATTTCGGTAAACACTGCTGTGGTTCTAGCACTGCTGTGGTACACAAGTCATAAACCAATTAAAATTTACCATCCTGAGCAAATGATTTTTACACCCTGGGCAATTACACAGCAGACATGATGTCTGCCTTAGAGCATGGAATTCTCCCATAAAATATTCAATATGTCAGAAACATGTTTCCACCATATAACTGTAGCAGTGAGTTGCCATAGAAATTGATTAGGTGTAACAGGATGCAAAACCTAGACTGTAATTGTCCGTTACTGTTTCAGGAACAGGTGCAGAAGAAGAAAAACCAGAAACATCAATTTACTTTGTTTTGCTGATTAATAAATCTGGTGATATTGTCAAAGCACTTTATATATAGGGTATCTTTTTCAATATTGTGTTGACTCTTGGAGATCTGAAAGCCTGCAAACAGTTTGAGGCAAGGAGGCAAATGGCTGGTTCTGTTTTCTTTATTTTTATTTTCTAGAATATCCATTGGTCTTATAATAAGATGACATTGATCAACTCCAATACCTGTGTTCCATGAGTTCCCCAGTCACATATAAGAAGGAAGCTTGACCAGGACACTGCCACATAACTGAATCACTGGATGCATTGCAAAGGCTTCATCTATATGTGGCACAGCCTCTTCATAACTCAGTATGTGTGCCTGGTGGTCTGCCACTGACATCTGTTCACACAGCTGATCTATACCTTGTCAAAAGGGTCCTGTTTAGTTTGGCCTCTCAGCACCCTTCTGTGCTATGTAAGATGCTTGAAGAGAGCCAAACCTCAGACTTCTCCTTGCCATCCCATCATAGGTGGACCTTTGAGATCCTTCCATTGGGAAATGGGCAGCGGTTTATGTATAATGAGAGCATCAAGATCAGGATCTAGTGGCAGAAGGGCCGGAGCAGGGTTTGCGTTCAGGGATAGACCAAGATGAGAAACGACATCAAAAGTAATTTGTCCAAACCCAGTAAGCTTGTCACACTACCACCATAACTGTATGGGAGCCCCTCCCTTGCTTGCAGCCCCACCAGCATTGTGGTGAACTCGCAGTGGTGATGGGAGCGAGCTTGACTGGAGCCCAGACTTCAGCCCAGCCTTCTGGACCTTGGGTTCCTTTGCCACAGTTTCTTATTCCCTTGCCTTCAGAGGATTATTCTGCCCTGGTGCAATTCTGTGCCTTGGCTGCTGTTAGAAGAACTGTCAAGAAGTCAGCTTTCCCACACGCCTGTTAGAAAATTGTCGTAACGGACGTATTATGAAGAAACTGCCTTTAATACAGAGGTAGCAATTGTGGTGCCCTGCAGATGTAGTTGGACAACAACTCTCATAAGCCCATACCATAAATCATGCTGTCTGGGGCTGATGGGACTTGGCATTTAACAACACCTGGAGGACAATGCATTGTCTATCTCTGTACCATGTAGTGGCAAATTCCCCCGCTGCTTTTGGGAGTAATTTGGGGGGGGCACCTGATTCCACACTTATCAGCTGTTCAGGATATCCAGGATGAATGCAGGAATAAGTAGACTTACCCAACACACACAAGCACTGATTCACTTTCTCTGGAAAAGTAGCGGCACAGCTTCCGATAACCTTCTGGATAGTAAAAAGACCTTCAGTGTATTAATACTTTACACAATGGCATGCACATTTCTAGATTAATGTGGGTTGGGATGACGAGTACGACGCAACCCCAAGTCTTCTTTGTGGCTCTATTTGTATCTGAGCCAGAGGAGAATCCCCATCTTTCCTATTTACCCAGCCTTCCACCCATCCAGATCCCAAGGCCCCAAAGTCAAACTAATACCCTCGTTGTCAAGGATTATTTCCCTCCCCATGGCATTTCCTGCATGTGCCTCTTTTTTCTTCCTACTATACTACAAACCGATAGATCTGGCTTCTGACTCTCTGAGCCAGGGGTTGCCCTTCAGATGATGATGCCAACTTCTACTTTCAACTATGGATCGATATGGATCGCTACCCATGAAAAAGAGGACATGTCCTGGAAAAAGAGGGCACATGGCAACCCCAATTACAGGATCACAGTCATGGGCCAGGGAAAGCCAGGGGAAAAGGAAAAGACTTCACAAGATGCCTGTAGCAACTGGTGGTAGCTGCTTCCTGTATGGAAGAGGAAAGGGGATTTCACAGTACAGGGAGAACAACAAACAGAAAATGCCTGTTTTGGGGGACACTGACCCATGATATTGTCAGAGCCAGCCAGCCCATTAGGCTTGGGTGAGGCAGTCTCCTCAGGCAGCAGGCTGGGGACAGCTGGGAAGTCCCCCAGGAGTGTGCTGCTCACTGCTCACTGCCTCCAACACTTGTCACCCATGCACCACCTGGAAAGAGCAGAGATACTGCTGCTGCCATTGTTCCTATCCAGCCTCCTTTTTTCTCCTCCACTGCCTTCAGTGGGCTGGGGCTTCCCCAGGTCACCTCCAGTTGCCGCAGGCGGCAGGGCGTTGTGTGTGTGTGCCATGTTCTGCTTTGCCTCAGGTGGCAAAATATCTAGGGCCAGCCCTGGATATTCTGTAGGATGCGGTGCGCTGATTAGAATTTCCATAAACGACCTACGTAATGGATAAGTGGCCTTTCAGGTAAACTGCTCCTGAGTTGTCCTGGTCCTAACCACAAGACCTTGAACATGCCCCGGTAGTTGATTAGCAGCCAGTGCAGTGGCTTCAGCACAGGTGTAATATCTGCTTGTTCGGTTGTTCTACTCAACAACTTGGTCCCAGCACTGTGCATGAGATGCAGTTTCCAGAACAAGCCCCACACAGATCACACTGGTTGTAAGTTAAATTAGAATGACTCACTTATGCTCCCGAATAAGCCAGCTCCTCCATACAGGTAGATAATTCCTCTCTGTCCTGTGGATAGGCCCTTTGGCTGATAAATCCTCACAGTCACATTGTCAAATTTTGTGTCGATAGTGTATCTGGGCTCGCTCCCTGCTGGCATTGCAGAGGAACTCCATTTAAGGAATGTCGGTTTTGTACAGATTCCCAACTTCTCCAAAATAGATCCCTGTTTGGAAAAAAAAAAGCAACAGAAGCTAGTATCAAGCATAGTTAGCTTTCAGTTTAATAAGGTTTTCAAAAGGTCTGTTTGTAGGAGTAGTGTGGGGTGAGAAATGCTTTGTTGATTCATTCAGAAGTTTAATTGATTTCATTTCCATTTGTTCCAATTGCATTCATTAAATGTTCTCTTTGTTCCCCCCCCCTCCCCTAGTTTTCATTTTCCCTTTGGTTTCAATGGGAGACTCAGACAGCTTTATGCAGTCTGTAATGTCTTCTGTGACATTTTTAGGCGACTTTAACATTCCTCCCCCATCAGGTCCACCAAACCTCCAACATAATGGACAGAGAGTCACAGTTTTATAAGCCATTAAAACACACACACACACACACACACACACACATGTTCTATAAGCTTCTTATTGTGTCCTCTGGGGGAATCAGCTTGTAACTCCACTGTTTTCCATCCAAATAGCATTGGTATGAAAATATTATTACTACATTCTTGAATTCCACCACCCACACCCCACAGGCATCAGACAGGTTACCCAGTAGGTCCTAATTTAACAGGTGCAATTTTATCAATGAAGAACCAATCTCCGAACTTGCTTCCTCCCTCTTCCTCTTTTACCTTTTGTGTCATTTCATTTTGGTTGCAAGTCTGAGGACAGGGATCTTTCTCATCACTGACAACTGTTGAGATACTCCAGGAGAGTTTTTTTTTTTTGGGGGGGGTGTCCTGCAATTTGAATGCCCCTATCACTCTAATGTGTCAACGGAATGGGACGGATTGGGGCTCATTTGTTTTGTTCCCCATTCGGTTTAAAAATGAACGAACAGTGACCTCCGGAGGATGCTCTTTGCTTTACAGCCGTACGGGAGAATCTCCACGAGGGCATTGCAACACTCCATCGGCGTTGCTTTATTTAAACCACTTACCTTCTTCCAAGATCTCTGCGTGGTGTTGCAATGGTATTGCTGCATCCGCAGCAACTGCCGCCTCCAGGTGACCTCCCACACACCTCAAATCAGAGGTGAGACAAATTTTTCTCAGAGTATCGTGTTTACCAGGCTGCAGCACAGACATAGGGATAGAAGGGTGGTGTGTGCGAGGGAGCCGTTGCCCCGGGCGCACAATATGGGTGGGGGGCGCAAACCAGGCACGCCCCTTGCAGAGATCCCTGCCTGAATGATCCAGGGGCCAGCCACCGCAACGCGAGAGTCCACCCGGCGGCGGTGAGGGCTAAGAGTGAAGAGCCGGTGGAGCCGACTGGGATGCTGGTCACTCGCCACGCAACCGTGGCAGGCGGGGCGTTGCAAGCTCCCAGGGCGCCACGGGCAGGTAGTTGAGCTGCAAGCAGGTGGGTCCCGCGTCGGAGGGAGCCTCTGTATGAGAAGATGACGGGGCAGCGTCTCTATCTCGGCAACCCCTACCTTTTGGGGGGCGGGAGGGAAGGGCAAGAGGAGGGAGAACTCGAGAGAGGGGAAGGATTTGCTGAACTAACAAATTGAACGGGAATACAAAAAGGGAGGTGTGAGGAGGTCCGGGAAACAAGCAAATGAAAGCGGAGATGACTGGCAGAATCCGAGACCAGGGAGAAGAGTTGGTGGAAGAAGATTGGAGGAAATTTAAGATCTATTTACAGAAATATTGTAAAATGTATGAATGCTGATGACATTGAAATGAAATGAAGGGGTTCTAGTAATAAGATAGATAAAAATTAGAAATTATAAGTTTGGAATTTAATATAAGTAAGGATAAAGCAACAGGATATGAATTTGCTGAACCAACTGTTAAAAAGGGATACAAAAAAGGGAGGCGTGAGGAAGTCGGGAAAATAAGTTATCAAAGATAAGAAAATAGAAAAGAGTGATTTGTGTTTTACCTTTTTGTGTGTGTGTTGATTTTATCCTTTTCCCTTGTTAGGTTAAATGTTTGTAGTTTTGTATTGTGTATTTTTGTATTGTATTGTGAAATCTTGTATGTTTTATATCCCCCCTGTGTTTTCACTGTTTTTTTCGTGGTTGTTTTTTATTGTTAAACTTAATAAAATATTATTTTTTTAAAAAAATGAAAGATAAGTGATGGAAACATGGAATTGTTTTTTTTTTTAACAATTCTTATTCTGTATTTTTCTTGTTTCTTTTTTCATTTTGTAAAATTCTAATAAATATCTTAAAAAAAAAAAAAAGAGGAGGGAGAACTCGAGAGGGCGCTTCCTCTGTTCACTTCACCGTGCGCAAAGAGGCACCGAGCACCCCGGGTGAGACAAAGGCAAAACCTTTGGATGGTGTGGGGAAAGTGGGAAATGACTGTTTTCTAGGCAATGGACAAGCAGAAAGCTGGATGAGCCCCAAGATAGAACTGCATGACTAGTGGCATAACGTGGGGTGAGGCCACAGGTGCGGTTGCCCTGGGTGCAAAATTTCAACACCCGGTGCTGCCTAAATACAGCTGCATACTTCTGTCACTGGGCTCTGTTGAAAATGGCTTCTCTGTGTGACTTTCCAGATAGCAGAGAGAATCTTCTTCTCTTGTTTCTGAGGCTGTGATCTCTTGGGTGATGCAGACACTGTTAGGCAGCTCCATAGTCCCCACCTCACTCCACACATGGCCCCAGAAAAGAGCTGATCGAACCGATTCTGAGGAAAATACCTCGTAGTACAGATGACACCTATACCAGACACCTCTTAGCTGACAAAGAGCCCGAAATTAACAGGTCCGTGGCAAAGTACTGTTACATTGCAACAAGAATAAGACGAGCAATGATGTCAACAACAGAGTTCAAATTGTAAACATCGAAGGAACGATAATAAACAGTAGTGACACCTGAATTGAATTTTTAAAACCTTAAAAGTCGAAACCTGGCCATAAATATAAGCACCAATTCTGTGAATTGGCCATATTTTTACTGTTATTTGTAGCACAATACTACTTTTAATGTCATATTGTTTTAACATATTTTTTTATAAATTGCTTTCTGGTCACTGACCGTATTAAAGATATTTGATTTGATTTGGCCCCAGATGCTCGCAACCCATGCTATACCACTGCGTGGGACAGTGTTTGCCAGCATGGTCCTGCTAGCTGGGGATGCTAGAAGTCGTAGCACAAAGCATCCTCCAGAAGTCACATTGATGATCAACACTGTATTTGAACTGTGGAGGAGAGAGATGTCCCTCCACAAACAAGCGCTCACAAATAGAACTGGAAATTTGGGAGAGGGTTTTTTGCACAGATCTCTATTTATAATACATGAATCCTTCAGGCTGGCTAGCTCAGTAGATAGAGCATGAGATTCTTAATCCTAGGGTCCTGGGTTCGAGTTCCACATTTGGTGACAGATTCCTGCCTTGCAGAGTGGTGCTTGGGTTTGTGGTCCCTTCCAACTCTACAATTCCGTTTTTCTATGATGGGGTGGATGGGGTTGCACCTCCTAAAACATGTTGCCTGTTTGAACCTTTCCTGGCTGGCCAGCCCCCATGCAACTAAAAAATAGTAGAATCATATAATTTGTAGAACTGGAAGGGACCACAAGGGCAATCTAGTCCAACCCCCTGCAATGCAGGAATATTTTGCCCAATGTGGGGCTCGAGCAGATAACCCTGAGATTAAGAATCTCATGCTCTAGCTGCTTCTTGAGAACACAGACATTTTGGATTTAGAAGGTTTTAACAACGTTTTTGGGTGGCATGCATATTTGTGGTATGACAAGGTTAAAGCACATAAAGCATTTAAAAATCATATTGTTAGGAAAGCTTTGTTCAATGTTTGGATTAGATACAAGGATTTATTGGAAAATAAAACCCCAAGGTGGCTGTCGCCAATGGAAGCGAAAGCCCAGAAAAAGCTCAATATGGAGGCCAAATGGCCGAAATATTGGGAAATTTTGGATCAAGAAGGAGATAGATTGAAACTGCAGAGTTTTGAGAAACTAAAAAACAAAGTGCAAGACTGGCTTCATTATTTTCAGATAATGGAGGCTTATAATTTGGACAAGAAAATTGGCTTCCAGGTGGAAAAATCTAAATTAGAAACAGAATTGTTAGAACCCAAAACTAAGATTTTGTCAAAAATGTATAACTTGCTGTTGAAATGGAATACTCAGGATGAGACGGTTAAATCTGCTATGATTAAATGGACACAAGATGTTGGACATAACATTATGTTTGCTGACTGGGAACAGTTGTGGACCACTGGGATGAAATTTACGGCATGTAATGCCTTAAGAGAAAATATTATGAAAATGATATACAGGTGGTACATGACCCCAGTCAAGCTTGCAAAAATTTATCATTTGCCCGATAATAAATGTTGGAAATGTAAAGAAAACGAAGGTACATTTTTTCACCTTTGGTGGACGTGCCCTAGGATTAAGGCTTTTTGTTTGTTTTTTTAAAAATGATATTTTATTAGATTTTTTCAGAAACATTAACAACCAACAAAAATCGACAAAAATCACAAAAGCAACAAACCACATACATCAAAAATACAAACAGAAAAACAATTTCAATTCAAACCTTTATTGCATTAGCAAACTGCCATAGCAAAATAAGACAATACAAAAAAGAAAAAAGACAAACTAGAGACAAGCAACCAAGCAAAATTCAGGTGTTTTGGCTGGCGTAGTGACATTTAAGTTACCCGAAGACAATAATGCAAAGATATAGTAGCCAGCGCCAAAAACTAATATGCGGATATATATAAAGCACAAAATGGCCCCAGAACAGACTCAGCATATTGAGTTAAAAGTAATAAAAGAATTAAAACAGGTCCAGGTCTAGGGCACGCTACCCTGTCAGAGTAGCCCTGAGTTTCAGAGCCTGCACTATGAAGATTGCCACCCCATGTGAGATTTGGGGATTTGCGTCCACAAGAAGCGATTTCAAACAGTCTTCCTTAGATGTAATGGTGGACGGGATCAAAAGGAGGAGCTTAGATCTTATTGGCTCATAAATAGGGCAGTAGAAAAAGAAATGTATGAAGTCCTCTACTTCATTCATTGTGCATGGACATAGACGCTGGGTAATAGGGGTCTTAGAGTAAATCCCCTGCAGGAAGGCCGTGGGTATAGAATGGAAGCGGGCCATAGTAAACGCTCTTCTCAAATTGGGCTCCGTCAGGTCTATCAAGTAGTTGGCAAGTGATCTTACCACTTTCACTTTAGGGAGCCACATGGAAAGGCGAGCTGAGGTGGACTGTGCCCGGTCC